TGCATCCCAACTGATGCGTAAACCCTTCCAATGTAGGAATCCTTTTTAATGCTTAGAAGCTAGTCCCATGCCGAGCACATAGTTGGAGTTTCCAGCTTTCAATGTCAGGCACTGAGAATTGGTGGGACCCATCTGTCTTGTTGACAGATTTTACAGTCTTCTACATCATCTGGATCAGCCATATTCTTTGATATGTGCAATTGATAGTATTTTCTGGGTCTTATATACAGTGCTTTAGTAAAATGCTATCTATACAAATGAAGCTTCGGGACAAGTACCCTGGTGTTTCTTTCATCCAGATTGCTGCCCATAATCCCATCCTATGCAGAAATTCTGGAGCAGCCACTGCCTGGGACACAAAGAGTAATAAAACTGGTTCCTGTTTCCAAGCAACTTCAAATCTAATAGTTGAGAGACAGAGGTAAACAAATAATTACATAGTAAACACTGCCTATAAGAGGTATAGAAATATTGGTGGAGTCAGGGAACTTAATATCTGAGCTGAGTTTTAAAGAATGAGTGGGGGGCGCCTGGGTGGCGCAGTCGGTTAAGCGTCCGACTTCAGCCAGGTCAAGATCTCACGGTCCATGAGTTCGAGCCCCGCGTCGGGCTCTGGGCTGATGGCTCAGAGCCTGGAGCCTGTTTCCGATTCTGTGTCTCCCTCTCTCTCTGCCCCTCCCCCGTTCATGCTCTGTCTCTCTCTGTCCCAAAAATAAATAAACGTTGAAAAAAAAAATTAAAAAAAAAAATAAAGAATGAGCGAGAATTCATATTCAGCCAGGCAGGGAAGAGCAACCCCAGCAAGAGAACAGCCTTTGCAAAGGATGGAGGGGTTTATCAGGGAATGAATGATAAGCGCAAGAGAGTTGGGGGAAAGACAATAGTGGGAATGAAGCTTCCTCTTGGCCTTGGGTTTTCCAGTGGGAGGATGGAGACGCTGATGGCGTAGATTTGTGGGAATAGACCCTTGAGGCCACTCTTGGTTCCTTCCGCTTGGAAGCAGACAGTTCTAGATGGCATAGCCCCAGCTTCTCACTTTCTCAAGCTCAGCAGCTTCGGAGGCCCCTGGGGCTAACCTCTAGTCTCCACATTCACTGGAGAGCAGTGGCTTTCAAAGAGTTTAATTGCAACCCCCAGAAGAAGTGCATGTTATGCTAGAACACACATCAGCAAACATACAATTGAAACACAATTTCCACCAGTGTCCATTGTTTCCTGTGATCACTTTGATGCTTTGTTTCCTAGTCTATTCCGTTAAAAAAAATTAAGGTTGGGTGGCACCCACTAAGTTGATTTCACAATCCAATAAGACACAACCCGACTTTGAGAAACCCTATTCTAGAACTCACATGTGAGTTTGGAAGTGTTGAGAAACAGCACAGTACAGTGGCTAAGAACTTATACTCTGGGAGCAAATGGCCAGAATTCAGTTCCCTCACTTATTACCTGTGTGGCTTGGGCAGGTCACTTAACCTTTCTATACCTCAGTTTCCTTGTCTGCAAAATAGGACAACGTAGGTATAGATAGATACAGATATAGGTAAATATAGATATAGGTCTCCAGAAAATTGCCAGGCATCTAGTAAGTGCTGGTTAAGTGTTAACTGCCATTACCTTCCTCCTCTCCCTGCTCTTCATCATCATCAGTGATCCCTCCTGCTATCCCAACCTAAAACGGAGAAGCCAAATACAGTACCACTGGTGGGTGGGGGCGGGAGCAATACCAAAAGATTTATTTACAAGGCTGTACAAAACTACACAGTGTGCAGGACAGGGTGGGGGCCCTGCTCTGCAGGCTGTGCCCTTATTTGCAGGGAAGAAGGGGAGGGAGACCCCTTTCTTGCTCATGGTTTAGTGTTCTGGATAAGGTGAATGCTGGCTCTGAAATGATCCCTCTGCTTTCCACTAACAGACATTTAATTTTCTTGCTCACTTTTTGTGACCACCTAGAATCCCACACCCCCAAAGTGAGGAGAACTTCTTTCTTAGGATGATGTCAGGGACCATTCAAATGTCAACCCATAGCGGGCAAGATGGAATTTCTTTCCTCATCAATTCAGTGAATTCAATCCAATAATGGACAATCCACAAAGGGGGAAGAAGAAGAAGAAGAAGAAGAAGAAGAAGAAGAAGAA